GAAGAGACAGCATTGGTTTGTTCTAAACTCTGTTGGGACATGGATGGCGATAGTGCACCTGTCCTGATCCTTTTGTACTTTTAAACAGTCCCCAAAGCCATAAGTTATAGTATCCTGCAGCTCAGTTGCAGAGAGTGGGGATGGACACACCATTCTCCACGGGTTTTGATTTTTCCTCAATGGTTGGCTCTACCCATTAATAATCAGTAGGACAGAGGTTTGCATCATGGTTTCTCCCATGCAGGGTGCTACATGGCTGTAGAAACAAGGGTTATTATGGCTGTAATAAATTGATTTGATGGGAATTCAGAAAAAATGTTGTATTTTGACTGAGTAAAGCAATAGGTTTCCCATTTGATTAGTCTGTTGCATAATCTCAGTAAAACCACAGCATTGAATCTATAATCTATCATAAATGTGCATAGGTTTATAGGTTTGTAATATCAATATGATTTATCAATAAATAAATCATAATTTGTTTTCAGTGAATTTCCTTTCAGAATGTCTAAATATAAAAATCAATTATTTTTCCAAATGATATGCCAGTAACAGCTGTCTTTCAGCATTTCTGCAAAGCTCATAGACTTTTATACTCAATGATTTGATTTTCCCAATCTCCCTATCAACAGAGGAGTATTTTCTCATATCAGGATGGCATTTTCATAGAAAAATTCGTAAAATGGAATTTTCAAAGATGAGAATTAAAGCTTCCACAAACATTAGTGTATTGTGACTTTGCCACTCTATATTATAGTATGCTTTATATACTATCCTTATTCATATACTTATCTGTGCATTTCTAGAAAGAAGAATGCCACACATGACAGATGATTAGTTTTTTCATTCACGGGTCTGTTTATTAAATATATTTCTTTCAAAGACACATTGCTTTCATAAGTCAGTTTAAATGTATAAAACTTTAAAACACATCTAATGCAACAAACGGCACTGTAAACCATTAAATAAAAATAGCAACTCAACACATTTCATGAAAGCACATTAAAAATCAAACTCAAAGTGGAATAAAAACAAATTAGCGCTTTTTAAAAAGGCAGCAATTTTAAAAATGGTATCTGGAGAATGGAATTCCAAAAACTTGTTATTTACAATTAAGTTCTCAAAATTCTATATGTTGGCAATACGTTCAAAATAGACTTGTGCAATAAAATCCACATACTTGTTTCTCTTTGCAATAATAATAAAGAATACAATAAACATGACTATCATTAACTGAAGTACTGCTGTACATAGCAACATAGACCAATATCAATGACAAAGTGTATACACCTTTGTAAACCCCTAAACCTAGATTAACAAAATAATATAGCTACATACATATACACTGCAACACATTTTGCCTAAGGGAAACATATTTTAGCTTAACATGATGTGACACTTACAACTTGCTGAAACAATAGCTACATTCCTATGAATGCTAAATCATAAATCACACAGCATATTTTAACCAATTATGTGAACCCAGCCTCTGAGTTTATTTTAAAATGTCATACATTTAAAAAAGAGACTAGTAAATGATGCAATTTTTGTGCAAAAGGGACTGGACATATCCTTTAATGAATATGAAAAGAGAAATGGAATGTGTTTCACGTGCGTAGCATACCAATGAATTAAGTGTCCTATGAAAACTTACATTGGAAGATAACAATAACTCTTAATGCTAGATATTCCCAGACAATTCACGACCTGTTAGGTCATCATTTCAAAGATATTTCCTGACACAAACAGAGAAACAGAATGACTGAGGGCAAAAAACAAACAAACCCATCAGCTATTCCAACTAAATATATTTCCATTATGTTCTCCCCTATCCATTTTACTCTTCCAACTGTTATTCTTCATTTTGTGATTACTGATATATTATACGTTCCATCCTTATTTGAGCATGTTCAGGCTTTACTGATGTTTTAGAAACACTTTTACTTTTTTGCAATTTATTTGGCAGTTGCCCCATTTTGGCTAGAATTTTGTCAGCTTTCAGTATCCAATATTCCACTGTTAGTTCTTCCCAAGCCTCCCTTCTAATTTTACAGTACAACCACAATTTCACTCTCAAACCCTCATTGATCCGTGGAACAGTGTCAGAAGATGTACACATATACCAATATCCTTCCCATATAAATACAGACACACTCCAACACAAATTGTGTGGTATTCCATACGAGTTTTACTTTATATGCACCTTCTGAATATATAAAGGAGCAAGTTGCCTGCTAGTGAACCTACTGCATAATTCTGCATAATATCCCTAACAAGTTCCAGATCTTTCTCATTTTTTATTTTGAATTGGTTCCTTCTTCTGACAAGAATAATATATGTTTACTTACGACTCAACTGGCATTAATTTAGAATTGTGTAACTCTGGGAGGATGATTAAGAATCGTTCTTTGGCCCTCAGAGTAAGCCTTTCCCTGTACTGTGTTTCTCTGAAAGGAATTTTCCTAGGAAGAGCTAAATCGTGGTTTGAAAAACAGGATTAATTAGAAAGCGTTTACAACTTTGGTTGTAAACTGTGGTAAGAACTAGGTATGAGTGGAGTGTCTGTTTAAGTATTAAAGCACAAATGAAGGAGAAAGTTAATCTGTTGTTCGAAATCAGTTGTATTTTCAGTCTTGTTTCACTTTCTTGTGCAACGTAGGTTATGAGCGAAACTTTTTCAAATGTTGGCCTTTTGATTATTTCCGTGTCTTTTTGTTCCTTGCTTCCAGACTATCTGTCTTTGATTATCTCTTTGACATTTGTGGTATATCTTTTTTTCTAGCCAATCCAGAGGCTGAGCTGAGAGTTGGACCTTAGCTATAATTCCCATGTCACCACTTTTGGCTAGAAATAGTGAAATCCAAGTCCAAGACATCTGGACTACATCATACATTAGCATCATCAAAAATGACCATAATTAGGATTTGTGTCATAGAAAATAAAGAATTTTCTTTCAGAAAGGTACGACCAATGTATCTTATTCATGCCTTTGAGTCAAGCTTGATTACGTGGACAAATCAGTCTGGTTTTCTTGACAGCAATAAAGAAATGCTTTGTTACTCTTTTCTGCAAGGTATTTTTCAGATTTGCAAAATTAACCTACAATGCTGGGTTGTTATTTTTTTTTTTTTTTGTGGAATCTCATTCATGTATTTTTTCGGTAGCAACAGCAGCAGCAACAGGAAGAGATCATCCAATATTAGCTAGGTATTGTTTTGCCAAGTATCCAGCCGATGCCAGACAAATGGTTCTTTTGAGGATCCAGAAACAATGAACAACCAATAGGTAAGGAGAATTTTAAGCTTTATGTTTAACCGTAGTATGTAAATTAAACAGAACCCCTAAAAAACAACATACCAAGCTAGATACTCTTGCTTCAGCTGCTGGGAGCCCTGTATCAAGAACTGGAGATATTCCAAGGCCCTTGGTGCACAGCACTGGATGTTCAAGCCTATACAGAGGCTCATTCTTGATGAGTAATTTTCAGGGCTCTTATTCAAATTTGGCACCAAGACAAAAATTTCATGGCCTTGCTTCCCTGATCGCAAGACTGCCAGACCTGAACTTGTCTAGATCACTCTGAGATGCAACTGAAAGTCTGATTAAGACAGCGCTCTTCACAGCTGTGTGAAGATTCCCCAGTTTTTTTCAGCAAGAGAAACAAGCAAGTTCAGAACTGGTGATAAACTTCTAGACTTTTTCTAATATGGAGGGAAATCAAACTATGTCACTAAACTTGAAACATAATGGTTTTTCAAAATGCTTGTATTAACAACTGTTTGTGGCACCAAGATAGGATATGCTTCAAATGAACATGGTTTCTCATTCGGCTTGTGAATTTTTTAAAAAAAAACTTTCCTAAAAATGAAGTCATGATTTGTAACATAGTAGAAATAGGAGAAAAATATATGTTTAGATAAATTAATTTTACAATTAATTGTAGAAAAGTACAGTTAATATAATTTGGTTATTTAAATAATTGGTTATATTCTGTTTATTTTCTTTTTTTAACAGTTCTTGGGTACAATTAAATGAGAAAACATACTTCAGAAATATAATATGAAATAGTTAAATAGAACAAGTTAATAAACAGAAAACCTGAGAAAATAAAAAAAAATCATGCTGCTTGGTTAAAAAGAATAACCAGACTTGTAGTTGCTATTGAAAGCAGGTATAGTTGCAAAGCCAAAAGCTTAACAAAAGGTTAAGTAGCATTTTGTCTAAGTTCGGTGATCCTACATATCTGTTATAAAATATTTTATTCAACTGAGGAAATTGAAATAATTTGATTGGAACTAATTTGGTTGTGGAGTCTTTGGTGCTCCCTGAATTTTATTGTTTTCATGCAGAAGTTTCATTATCAGGCTAGGTAACGTTTTCAGTGCTGGAGGGGAAGGGGTTTGCCCCCCCCCCTCTCTCTCTGTGTAGTAGCTTGCCCTGTCAGTGTTGGTGTGTGCGCGTGCAATGTTTTCTCCTTGGTGATTCCTTGATTGGGCTGTTGTTTACTGCTTGATTGTCTGAGTTGGTAGTTCCTTGATTAGGATCTTTGGTTGCTGCTTGTTTATCTGGTGTCAATCTTTTTATTAATTTCTGCTTATCTGGGTGTTGATTGCTGGCCAGGATGTTTTCTGCTGTTTTTGTTTCCTTTCTAGCTTTTAATAATCTCTTTTGAATGATATGTACATGTTGTTCATCTCTATGTGCCTGCTGACATCTCTAATAACTAAATTCTATGAAGTCCATGCGTTATGCCAACATATATATATTATGCAATTTAAATTTCTCCAATTTAAGTTTTACCTAAGTTTTAGATTATAACAACACATGGCCATCTGCCCAGTGATTGTATTGCCTGAGGGCGAATTCAAAAGAATTGGAAGATGCCACATACAGAAAGTTTGATTAATCCACATTTTAGTTAATGGTCTATTTTATATACAAGGATAATTATGTCCAGAGATAATTATACTTAATTTGCAAAATTAATATTGCATTAAAACATCACATGAAATATTTTAACTATAGTATGAGCCTACATTAACTGTATTGAATAAAAATTACACATATATGTTAATATATATGTAATATGGGGTGGATTGAGGACACATGAAATAATAATTGAGATTTTAGGCCTGGTACTTCTACAATGATTTCAATAGAATATTAATATGACTGTTTTAATTTGGACTCAAGTGATCCACTAGAGTCAGTAGGCATATAAAATCAATGGGGAATTTAATATAATTATTGAGAAAGCAATTAGATATGCACTACTACATAAACAACTACATCAGAACAATATCTATTTGGAATTCAGCAACATGTAAATATAATGATATCATAAAATAGATTACACAACACACTAAAATTTGGTTGGTTTAACATATTTCTTTTGGCTGGGTTCTTACAATATGTTAACCCCCCTCTTCCCCAATCACATATTGACTTTAGTGCAAGGTGGGAATCAGTCACATGCCCAATCAGATCCTCAACAGAACATTCTCAAATTTGACAAGTTTTTACTAAATATAAAATTTGACACATTTGCAATATTGCACAGGTCCTGGACCATATTTTTTAGACCCAGGAAACATGATTATTCCCTGATGTCCCCTGATATTGCAATAGCCTATTTCCATTCATAGTGCTTCCCCCCAAATGTTCAAAATTGCAATGTTGATTACCAGAATTATTTGAATTGCTGATGATTTCATGGACACACAATTTTCCTGGCAGCATTCGAGAACTGATTTGCCACTGCTATCTTCTGCCATTTTTTTTTTTAAAAAAAACCTTAGTCTGTAATCTTCATCTAATCAGGTTTACCCCTGCTTAGACATATTTAAATTAATGAATTAAAAAAGCAACTCCATTTAACCTTAACTTCCTCACAATTAATTTCCGGACACAAATGGATATGTGCTGGATGCCCAGATTCACAGTAAGGAAAATGCTTCAGCTAAAAAAAAGTACCGACATGAAAGTTGATTCAAACTGTTGTGCGTCTGATTTTGTTGGGTAAAATGATATGTTGCCCTTTCCATTTGTCCTGAGGGTAGCATGAAATGGCACGGGCTATCTGACAAAACTTCTGCACGAAAATCTTCCGAAGTAGCAAGTAAACCCAGGGATCCAGGATCTGATTCAGTGAAGCCAAGCGAATATGGGTTAAGGAGAAATTGCATTCTGTACTTTGGGTTTGGTTACAGGATTCTCTGCATTGATTCATAGGGTTGGGGTTAAAAGTCACTTTCAACATTGTCACCTAAAAAAAAAAAGAAAGAAAGAGTGAAAAGAAGTATGCTATTATGACTCAAGACAATTCTTTAAATCATTCCTTTATACAGTACAGGTAGTCCTTGACTTACGACCATAATTGAGCCCAACATTTCTGTGGCTAAGCAAAACATTTGTTAAGTAAATTTGCCCCATTTTATGACCTTTCTTGCCATAATTGTTAAGTGAATCATTGCAGTTGTTAAGTCAATCACACAGTTGTTAAGTGAATCTGGTTTCCCCAATAACTTTGCTTATAAAAGCATCACAAAAGGTGATCACGTGATCTCAGGACATTGCAACCGGCTGTTGTGGTCTGCCGGAGGCCTGTGGAGCTGGCAGCAGAGTCGGACAGTGGGGAGGAACATGGGCCAGTCCTGGAGTCTGGAGAGGACTCAGATGAGGGATCTGCGTCTGACATAGAGATGGGGCCAGTGCCATCTGAGAGTTATGTGCTGACATCAGTGAGGCAGAGAAACAGGGGGAGCCTGTTCCCAGTGCATGCTTGTGCAGAATTGCCAGAAGGCAAGAACAGTTAAGATAAAAGGGCCGGACTTGGGAGTAAAGCTTGGAGATGATTGGCCCCTCCCATAGGACGTAAAGGAGGAGCAAAGGGACATGAGCCTTTGCAGGAAGCAACTTTGTTCGTTCTGATCGGTTTAAATTCTGAAGCTCCGTGTTGACTTTGTGCTCTGTTTGTCCTTGTACAGCTAATTATCAATTTCATCAATGGCAGCATTTCAAGGGTCATAAAGGTGGGTGCTTATCATCCTTATCCTGAAAAGACTGTGGCAGACTTCTGTTGGACTATTCACAAACTGTTTGGGACTCATTATGGGCTGTGAATTAATATAATTCACAACCATTGAAATAAAAAGAGAGTTTTGGGGACTAAGTGTGTGATTGATACTGTCTCAGAAAGTCTTGGTCAGAACACTGTCTTAAATATAAGTCAGTTGCCAAATTTTGATCATGTGACTATGGGGATGCTGCAATGCTAGTAAGTGTGAAAAACTGTCATAAGTCACTTTTTTCAGTGCTGTTGTAACTTTGAATTATCACTAAGTGAACTGTGTAAGTTGAGAACCACCTATGTAATAGTAATATTAAGGGAGAAGAATATTCCTGAGTCTTGTGGGGAAGAGCTATCCTAGTTGCTTGAATTAAAGAGTCATAAGAGAAGCACAGTAGGATGGAGTAGCTCATTCAGTGATACGTTTTCTTCACAAATTCTTCTTAAAATTCCTTTCTGGCTACTCTGAACCAAGAACCAAGACAGCTGCATCACTCTAAGGTTTAGTGTGAACTTTGATGCATCAAACCCAGAAGACCTCAAGAAAGCTACAAAGAAGCTACTCTGAGTCTTGTTTTTATGGAATAAGAAAGGCATTTGGTGAGTTGAGGGGGTGGTCTTCTTAGCTGTACCATCTTGTTTAACATACTGCTTTCAAGATGGGCAACCAGATAATTTGTATACCTTATATCAGGACAATGTGATGGCACACACCTTAGTTTCCTTTGCCGGAAACAGATACTGAGAAATTGGAAATAGCATATAGCTATTATGACTAACTAGCTATTATAATATTATCCTTCAAACATTTGCCCAATCTTTCAAAACTGGTAACCATCATAATACGTTGTATTATAGTTCATGTATAGTGATGTATATTCTATATTCATTCATGTTCATTCTATATAGTACTAAGTCGGGTCAGATATTATTATACTTGGAGGGAGGTCACCAGGGATTTCAGGGCAACAAACAATGCAGGGAAGTAAAAAAAAATTAGCACGAATAAATCTCTTCTGTATGGTTGCCCAAAATGTGTACAGATAAGACTTGATTACAAAGGTGATGATTGCACCACTGGAAGGCTTGAAAGAACAAGTTAGCGGTAGATCATCTTGGTGAAAATCTATGTGGTTGCTACAATCAACAACTTGATAGTACATGAATGTATAAAGTTTCCAGAAAGATTGCTTGACTAGGAGGAAAATGTTTTTCCCCTTTTCTCTGTTTTCAGTTACATCTTTTTCTGCTTTGCTAGAAGGTTTAGAAATATCTAAAATTAGGAAGGATGAGATGGAAATCTCCTTATCCACTCTCTTAATTGATAGCTTTTTCTTCCTTTATTGATAGCTTTTCTGAACCACATATTCTCAAAGACTCTATTCTTTCCTTATAGGGCAGTTATTCCAGCCCTTCAGTAAATTTTGGTTGCTTTTTCTAATACTTTCTCTAGCAGAATGGCTGAAAAAATAATTGTATTATTCAATTTATATAACTGCCTAATATGACTTTGAACTTATGGCACAGAGGTAGTATTCAGCAGGTTCTGATCAGTTCTGGAGAACCGGTAGTGGAAATTCTGAATAGTTCAGAGAACCGGCAAATACCACCTCTGACTGGCCTTGCCCCATCTATTCTCTGCCTCCTGAGTCCCAGCTGATCAGCTGGGTCTTCTCTTGCTGCCCTGCGCAGGAGAATGGAGCTGGAAAGTAGGTTGGTGGGATGGAGAGGGAATGGGGATTTTGCAGTAACCTTCCCCTGCCACGTCCACCAAGCCACGCCACACCATACCTACCAAGCCACGCTCACAGTGGTAGTAAATTTTTTTGAATCCCACCAGTGTTATGGCAGTTAAAATACAATATAAAAATACAAAAAAATATATATAAAAATCTAGTTTTTAATATTGCATGTTAGAAAAATCTTGCCAATAAAAATTATTTTTATTTTAACCTATCTAAATTCAGTCCTGTCATAAATCCAAAGACTTCATGGATAATCACTTTTACAAAGAAATTCATTATTTCCAATTACTACTTTTCTCTCAATTATATTACTAATAAAAATATTTTGCAGGTTTTAAACCATCATAAAAACCAGTTGAATCAGTAGAGAAATCATTGTGGGAGAAATAAATACTTTCACATTTAACCATAACCACTCTTGGGGAAATTGCCTTTTCAGTTTGAATCATGAAAAATCTTTTAACTTCTAGAAAATTATTAAATCTATTTTTAATTGTCAAATTCCATCTCTGTTAATGAGCCACATATCTGACAAACTGCATACTATCCTCAGGAAAATTAACGTTCTATTAACATTCATCATTTTAACTCATTCAAATCTGAAGACTGAATAGGAATCAGTTAGATATAAGCTTGCAGTTTGATTCTATTTCATACAGACAAGGAATATATTCTGATAAAAAGCTAAGTGATATTTATTTTTCCATGAATTATTTGGCATTCACTTTTTCTGTAATTCTCTATTTCCTTCACAAACACTGAAAGCACAGCTGCCTTTTAATTTAATTCTACATGAAAGGGATAAAGGTAAATATAATCAGAGTTCTCATTTTATTGTTAAGTAATTTTTCCATTAAGAAACTTGTTACATAATATTCTGAATGGGTATTTTTGTAACTAATATTAATCCAACTGGTATATTCTGTTCAAATCGATTAATACAATATGATATATTACATTGTATGTATCCTACAATGAAACAGATCAGAGGTTATATTTAATTCCTGTCATGCAGAGATCACCTGGCCTCCTGCCTGCTTTCTTTCCTGCTTCCCTACAAATAAAAGCATTATGTCATAATTTTGGTGAAAAAACAAATCTGGTCACGTTACCAACTTCAAAAGCTGATACAAAAATCTATGCCACCAGATGAAAACTGAATGCACTAATTATCACATTAAACAAGAGGAAAACCTTCTATGCACCAATTCCACCAATACTTTCTACAATTTTGTAAATAACAAACTAAAAGACTCAAGGTCCATCACACCCCTGAAAGGACCTAATAGTAAAGACTGCAATGAAGACACCATTAAAACCAACCTCTTTAGCACATTCTTTGGCTCAGTATTTGTAAACAGCAATGGATCATGCCCGGTACTTCCTAGTCGAACCACAGACAACTACAATGATCTAATACATATCAATTTTACAGAAGACAATGTTGAAAAAGCAGTACACAATCTAAAACCATCCCTATCTATTGGACCGGATGGAATATGTGCCTACTTCTTAAAAAAGCTATCCACTGCCATAGCTGAACCTCTAAGCATAATCTTTGAAAAATCTTTCAGGACCAGCTCCTTGCCGATCTAAGTATAGTGTATAAAATCATACATTGCAATGTCCTACCAGTCAATGAATACTTCAGCTTCAATCATAACAATACAAGAGCACACAGTAGATACAAACTCAAGGTTAACTGCACCAAACTTGATTGCAGAAAGTACGACTTCAGCAACAGAGTGGTCAATGTTTGGAATATTCTACCTGACTCTGTGGTTTTTTTTCCCCAAACTCCAAAAACTTTAACCTTAGACTATCTACTATTGACCTCATCCCTTCTTAAGAGGCCTGTAGGGGGCATGCATAAGCACACCAATCGTGCCTACTGTCCCTGTCCTGTTGTTTTTTATTTTTCTTATAAATATCTATCTCATATATTCAAATCTATGGTTATTCTTATACCTGTATCTTGTAAGTGATTGACAAATCAAATCAAATCAAATCAAATAAATAAATAAATAAATAAAAGCATTATGTCATAATTTTGATCTTTTTTATTTTAAAGCATGAGCAATTTTTTTGAAACCCATTTCTGTTATTAATTGAGCATCACTGTATATTGTACCTATGCACTAGCTGTGTTTGTGTAATATCCTTAAGTTGGTTACACCTGGAGCATGATGTCATGCAATAGCCAGTCAACTGCAAGATTACACAAGAGCAGTTTTCATTAAAACATGCTCAGAGCTGCTTTGATGAAAGAATCCTCCCTTATTCAGCCATGTCATGCAAACGTAGTCAAAGGTGTGGAACAGTTGCCCAGCCATGCCAAATCAGTCTTCCGAGAAAAAGTGGAGGATGTAAAGATATAAGGCAACCAGGCTTTCCGTTACAAAATGCACTGAAGTGTGATGGCCCGCAGGTATCAGCAGAGTTGCACCTCCC